TTTATTATTATTATTATTATTATTATTATTATTATTATTATTATTATTATTATTATTATTTCGAAAATAAACCGGCGAAACCAGACACAGACACATACGTACAAAAAAACATGACAGGCGGGGGTTTAGAAACAGTCTACGAATGTAAATAGATGACAAACATGAAATGAAATGTAACTAGTGGCTCAAAGTTAAGGCGCCACCAACATGGGTTCAGTGAGAGTGTCATACTACTGTGTACCATTTTTGTTGAGAAAACCGGGTGTCAAAAATACCTTTTTCAAGTCCTTTTCCAAAAAAATGCCCGGATTGACCGGATTGTGAATCTCAAAAATTCGAATTTGGATTTGATCCAAAGAATTCACTCAAGGTGTGGATTGTATGGATTTATGACCCGTTTTTGGATTTGCCTAAGAAACGCACCCTCAAATAAACTGCTTGCAAAATACGTTATTGAGGACTTATACAAAACATGGACTCCCGGCACCCCTCTGGACCTAAACCATGGACCTCTTGGTGAACCTGGTCCATCGACTACCCACGTGGACGACCCCTAATTTTTGAAGATAAATTTTTACCAATTTTTTTTTTCTCAATTCCATTCATGGGTTTCGTTTAGTTTGGACGTACTTTTACTATACGGGTTTTGAAGATTTTTGTTTTACCTTGACTTCACCTTCTTCCATAAGCTCGCCAAAAAAAATCCATAACTGGATCAGGCCATCATGACCTCATACTAAGACATTAACGCAAAAATATCGTCTCCTGTCGTCTGTTTCTCTTTTTACAAAACCAACAACTTAATTATTTATTGATATCAATTCTGACAAGCACCCATAAACTGGGCGAGGGAATAACAATGAGGAAATAAGAAAATAAATGAGGAATAACAATGAGGAAATAAGAAATATAATACTCAAACAACTGGAAACAATTTCTTAACAGATGTATCGTCATCAGAACCCGCGGTGATACCAACAGCAGTTTCCACAACTTCACGAACTTCAACAAACAAGCCTTCTCAACAAGGTGAGTAATTGTCTGCGTTGTTCCTTCAACTTGTATTGGACTCGTTCTTTTGTTTTGTGTTTGTTTTCGTTGTTTCTTTTACTTTTTTTTTTTTCACCTTTAAACTTTGTCTTGGTCTATAAACTCGCCAAACAAACAAACAAACAAATTTCCAATATCTAGCCATTCGTGATCTCACAATAAGCCATTGATGCATGACTATCGTCTCTACCTTCTGATTCTCCTTTATAAAACCAATAATTATATAACTAATAACCAATAACAATTCCGGCAAAAGCACGTAAACTGGACGGGGTAAACATAGTAATGATGATATTAAAAATAAATAAATACTCAAATAACTGTAAACAAACTAGCGTGAGTAGTTATTATTGTGCTCCCCAAAATGATGTATCGTCATCAGAAGCCACAGTGATACCAACAGACGTTTCCACAGCTTTACTAGATTCAACAATCAAACCTACTCCACTCGGTGGGTAATTTTCTGTGTCTTTGCTTCGACTTGTATTGACCGCCATAGTCTAGCTGATATAGCTAAATCATTCGATTCTGAATGCATTAGTACCGGATAAATACATGTGTAACAATCTACAGATAGTCTTACAGTTGAACCCTTTTAATACAGACACTGATCTGAGGGCGCCATAGATAGTACCGGTAACAATGACCGTTTTTATCCTACAGTCGCATTATCTGCCTGGACGAACTTGTGCAAACATTTGTATTTCGTCTGGTTATGCGTCTTAAGTATAAAGACGGGCACAGGACGCATTATGTGTCTGGACGAAGTATCCTTCGTAATACGTCTTGAACGACGCACTACGAAAGGCTACAAATGTTTGCAAAAATTCGTCCAGATGGTTAACGCCTCCTTAGTATAAAACGGCCAATGACACTTGATTTCTCTTCTAACTTGCTCTATCAACATCATATGTCTGTTGACAAAAGCAGGAGCCTATGGCTCCTATCTAGGAGGTCAGTCACTTCTTGTTTATTCGAAAAGTAAAGCTTTGACAATGAAAGGAAGAGAAGTATGAAAATGCTTTCTGAGTTAAACGGTTTGCAAATACGTTATTGATGACAATTTATTCATTAGGTTCGGCACGTGAAAATGTCGACGTCTGAATCAAAGCCGTTCCAAGTCGCAATACTAGGCCGGGTTAGGCTGAAACAACGGCCTAGCCGTTCCAAATTGAAATAGAATTTATGCAGACGCCGAATGTTTCGCGTACTGAAATCCATGTAATCAGGTTCGGCACATGTGAAGGGGACTCGACCCAGTTATTTTGTGACGGTACCATCCTACTTTGAAGCTCTCTGGTATAGCCACCTTTAATTTGATCGTAAGTCTAACATATAGAATGGATAACGTATAGATCAATCTACAATATAGCATAAAATTTTCGGTGATCGGAGTAAATGACACATGGTTATAGTGCCACGCCTCTTTGGGGTCTGAGTCGAAATTCTGCTGTTGCTGGCATTTTTTCGTGAAAATCTCTCGGCTACATATAGTGCGTATTTGTTCCTGATTTTCACGAAAAAATGCCGGCATCAGCAGAATTTCGACTCAGACCCGAATGAGGCGTGGCACTATAACCAAGTGACATTTACTCTGATTGACCAAAATTTTATGCTGTATGTTAGATTGATTTATATGTTATCCATGCTATATGTTAGACTTACGATCAAAGTAAAGGTGGGGATACCAGAGAGCTTCAAAATAGGATGGTACCCTCACAAAATAACTGGGTCGAGTCACCTTAACTAGGTTAAGTTGTAATGCACTGCTAGTAACTCTTTTAGGCCCTGTTCAGACGCCACCCCACTCAAGTGCCAAACCTAATTGAATAGAGGAGGAGAAGTGTAACGTCACGTTACCATGGTAGCAAAATGTTTCGATAACAGCAATGGGGAGTTTAAGTAATGACCACGGCGACGGCAACAAGAACGGCAAAAAATCCGCAGGTTTATATTAGCAAAACAGCAACTTTGCACGTACATCAAGCTTTTTACCCATCGTTGCTTGACTGCGATATGAAACTTCCTAATTTCACCCGCGCTCTTCATGGAGTACGTGAACACAACTGAAAAATTTTCGTTTTCTTTTTTTAAAAAATGCGAATTCTCTTTTGAAGTGAATTTCATCCAAAGTTTTTTGCTACAATGGCAACGTGACCTAGCGACTTGTTATCTCTATTTGGTCCTACTTTGGAGCGACATTGGCCCTGGAACTGATGCGACTGAACTGCCCGCTACCCAGCCCTTGAAAGAACAAGGAATACAGAAGTATTCCTGGCACAGTAAATAAGTTTTTTATCTTTTGTATTCCTGCCACCGTGAATAAGTATATTTTGTATTCTTAAAGCAAGATGAGCAAAATTGTCCTTCTTTATCCACCATTTCCTCAATTTAGTGTTCTGCGCTTGGCAACTACGTAAAAACGAGCGGAATTGTTGGGAAAAAAAAAGTATAAATTTAAAGTATGCATAATGTTTGCATTAGGTTCGGCACTTGAGAGGAGCGCCGTATGAATCACATGCCGCTCCAGTGTCGTATAATGCGACAGACGGTGTTGAATTTGGCGTTTTTGCTTCAGACGCGGCCCTGTTAGGTTCGATACATGAGTGGAGCGGCGTCTGAACCGAGCCTTAATTAGCTATTCGTTGTTCCCCGTGATGGTAACATTACGTCAATTCACTTTTTAGAACGACGATAAAACGAGGAACGGAGAACGGGGGAAGACCAAAGGGAAAGGGAATATGAAAAATGGGAACAAAACTTAACATGGACCTATCCCTATCAGTAAATTCATTTCCCATAAGGATTCTCTTTCTTGTTCTTATTTTCATTTTCCCGTTGCCCGTGCTCATTACCCATTCCCGGCTCCCTGTTATAGGAGGGTCTCAATGGAGTGGTGGCTTTTACCTAAAATTGGCTAAAATTTTGGCTCTTTTACGACCATCGGGTAATTTTTTTCAGTTACCGGGTTAACAAAAAAGTTAAAAGCTAATTTCCTTTATTTCAAAAATTAAAATATTAATAAACCTGATTTTTTTTTTCTATCTTCAAAAGGAAAATAAAAGTCTTTGGATCATCTCGGGATAAAATAAGCTGTTCTTTTGAAAAATTTTAACATTTGATAGATCATACTTTTAATTTTACAAAGTATTTCACTTTTAATATTATTATACGCATAGAAATGTCAATAGCCAATTTAAAATAATCTCTGTAAAAAGGAAAAGCAAACACGCGACGCCCAACTTAAGGCCGGGACGCGACATTAATTTTTAACAGAAATGGCTGTTTTAACACTAGATACGGACTATTCATGTGAGACGGGTTATCCGTTTGATAATTCGCGTCAGATAAGTAATAAGTCTTAATTTGAAAATGGATATGGTTTTCGCTATGGAAAAAACTTGGTTCTTCGAGAGAGAGGCGGAAATGAAGCATAGGTCTAGGTCAACACCTAAAAGGTGCTTGGCTTAACGTGCGTACGGAGTCAAAGTAGCCGGGAAATAAACAACGCAACCATAAGTGAGTTTAGCACCTTCCTTAAAATTAACAAATCTAGGGAACAGTTTATTTTACGGTTAACTCTTTCTTACCCTATTTACGGCTAACGGTTAAAATTTTTCAATTTTTACGGCTATCGACTAAATTTTTGGCCGTTTTACGCCTACCGGTTAACTCCATTGATACCCTCTTTTAGTAACATCGGCTATTAATCTCCAGGTTGTTATTACGTATGCACCCCACGTATCACTTACTTATAGAGCCATCTTCGTTTTGACTTCCACAAAGCGCACTTTGGACCTTCTGTCATTTGTAATTGGATCACACGTGTTTTTAGCATCTATCACGTGACTCCTATATGCAATCCACAGCGTTGGAGCGAAGCGTTTTGACCTTCGATCGTTGTCGCCCCACTCCGTAACCTTCGGTTACTACCAGTGTCAACTAATTTTATGTCTTTGGTTCTCCTTTTTCCGTTGTTTCTTAACTCAGCTTGTCAACAAGGGTGGATTGGCAACGGGACGTCGTGTTATAAATTGTTTACGTCACCTAAAACTTGGGAAAACGCGAAGGAGGAATGCGAAAAATGGAATGCCAGATTGGTAAAGGTTGAATCTAGTGAAGAAAATGATTTTATAAAAACAGAAGTTTTGCCGACCGACGAGAATGAAAATTACTGGATTGGACTTTCTGACTCTCACAAAGAAAATGACTGGATGTGGACGGACGGAACTCAATTGGATTTGGATGAGTACGAAAACTGGGGACCTAACCAGCCGAACAATCACGAAAATTACGAGCATTGTGTAGTGATACGAATAAAAGAATCAGATCCAGACCATTACGGGAAGTGGCATGATCTACAATGCTCAATTGGAAGGAAACACATTTGTGAAAACCCAAAGCATGTAGTTTATAAGGACTAAATCTTTCGTCAAACTCTGTTGTTACCATAATGAGAAAAACGGCACTGCTAGCATGTTTCACAGTTTTCGCTGGTTTTACAGCACAACAATCTTCATTTATTGATCATGCAACCACATTTTTTGTCTTAGAACCAGCAGGTCATTATTGTGGCCACTGAAATGGAGCAGCATGTTATTATTCGTACGATGACCCCCTGTTCCAAATCAGTGACCTGCCCTTCTGTTTATTGAAAATAATATTAACCTGTTCAAAACAATGGAAAGGTGCATTAAAGAAGCATAATTTCGGCATTTTTGTTACTAATATGAGCAGAATTTACAAAAACTAGCTTGATAATTATTGACATAGTCTTAGGAAAATACAAGCACTGCTGGTAACATAATATGTTCCTTTTGGGAGCACAATCTACAAAAGATTATACGCGCCATGACCTGCATGTGAAAAAAGCCATTGTTCATTTGCCGATGAAGTTGAAAGGGAATATTCGAAACGCACATTCGCTAATTCGTTAAGTTCGCTGGGTGCCCAAAACAAGGATCTCGGCCACTGCTTCGCAGACGTTGCTAACTGGAGACAAATTAAGTCTGCGATGCAGGCGAAATGAGAGCCGCAGAGAAAGACGTCTTCTTTGGAAAAGCATGACGTTTCAAAAAAGCGTCAGCATGTTTTGCTGTGTTTAATATTTTTGCTTGTTTTGATCTTTTTTTCCTTTGTTTGCTGGCTCTTTTTCTTTTTCCTGAATTTAACTGTTCGCATTAATTTTTGTTTGGGCTGTTTCATTCCTGTCTGCAACATTTGCATGCCATAACGTACGCTGTTATTTCAGGAACCAAAGGAATTTGGATTTCTTTTGGCTTACCGATGCCTTAGTTTTATCAACAGAAAATTTCCATTGGTTTCATACAGTCCTGTGCCGGTGTCTTTTTACTCTATTTCCGTGTAATTTGCACTATATGTCTGCATCATTTTCTAGTAGGGTCCAGCTGTTTTACCGGCATGCTGTATATAAGCAAAACTACACCGATTTTGATTCTATTTATAATACGAAAATCCACTAATATTATTGATAACTGGGCCAAAAATTTCATTGAAATAGTATCATTTATCGTTTAGGCAAAAGAAAACACGGTGACGTCGTTTTACTTCTGCGAAATGAATCCTTTTCGTTGTTCTTTTCCCAGTGGGTTATTAATAACAAAAGCCGCAATTTGTACCTTATTCGTACTAATTTTCGCGAGGCTTCAATTTCGCGATTTTCGCGATTTGTAAAAAATCGCGAAATTAAAGACTCGCTAAAATTAGGATACGCGAAAATTAAACACGCGAAATTTAATACACTTCTATAATTGCTTTAATCAATGATTAACTGCTTTCACAGCTACATGGTAATTGTCATCAGTCTATTTATCATCTACTTCAGCACTTTCTTCATCCGAATCACTCATTTCTTCTTCTTGTATATAGACAGTGCACCACAGTAATAACATAGACATTGCACAAGGCTGTATCGGAAGACACACTTAAATTGTATTTGATTATTATTCATCTATAGTTTTGTTCTGTTTCAAGGGTGTTAAGCATTTATAATCATTACAGAACTGTGTGGCATAGGTATTTGAAATTATATTTTTACAATTGACTTTTACAATTGATTTTTATTACAAGGTAGTACAATATTGCAGTACCATCTGATTGATTTGCAGTATTTGCTTGTTTTGTCTGATTATCAACGCTATTTCTTTTACGTAATTGCAAATCATGATTGTAAATCAATCGTTATTTAAGTGATCAATCAATAAAAAAACGGTTTTCTAAGTCTGTCTTTTGTCAATTTTCGCGAAATTAAATGCCCTAAATTTATCATTTTTTGCAAAATCGCGAAAATTAATGATCGCGAAATATTCGTGTTCCAAATTCGCGAAATTAAGTGCCCGCGAAAATTAGTACGAATAAGGTAGAAGAAAGAAAAACCCTGAAGGATTCTGGTCGTAGTAGTAAAATGACATCATCGTGCAAATGGCCTATTCGAGACACTTACGTAAACGAGAGATGAAGTCGAGGGCTTGCATAACTTTCGAAAACCGCCTTTATAAAAATTAAGAACTTTAGTCCTTTCAAATAAGCTAACTCCTAATTTCAGACGGTATTTTTTGCCAGCTAAAAAGTCACCTTTTATGTGGCCGCAGACCAAGAATAATGAATACGAATAACAAATCACTGCTTCAGGGACGGATACCCACGAAGAGCTTAGGTATAGCAGAGGCACCCAACGTCAATTTTCGGAAAATATCTGTTCGGAAGACGATTTGAGATCTAGAATTTTCGGAAAATTTGTTGTAAAATTTCTTGTTTGTCTGCCTCTCCTAGGATTTTCGAACACCTAAAAAACGGTATAATTGTCCGTTTTTAACGGATTTTTGCCCTAAAAAGGTCACCTAGAATTTTCGGGAGCCTTTTTTTCTTCCTGAAATTTTCGAAAAGGTAAGTTTTGATCCCTTTAATTTTCGAATCACTAGACTTTCAGCTAGGAAATCTGAACAGATGAAAAATTTTAAGGGGATAAAAATATGCCTATATGTACCGTTTAATGTACCGTTTAAATACCAAAAAAACGTTTATCATTGCTATGTTTAAGTGGTTTTGAACCATGTTTTCTTTGGGTGCCCCTGGTATAGGCCCGTCCACACGGTGGCTAAGGCCTCGTTCAACTGTATCCGGATATTAGTGAATCCGCAAAAATTTTTTCCGGATTCAAAGATTTCCACGTCTACAACTTTTTCTTTGCGGATTCGGTTTCCGTCCACACCCACACGTATCCAGTAAATCCAGCATACAAATCCACAACTTTTTGGATCCGCTCGCTAAAGTGGAAATTTCAGAATACGCTAAGATTCGTGTGCCGGATTCACTAGATACGTGTGGACAGAAACCGAATCCGCAAAGAAAAAGTTGGGGATTCAAAAATATCCGGATACGTGTGAACGGGGCCTAACTGAACCTGTTCCTTTCGCATCTATGAACAAAGAAATACTGAAAACTGTTGAAGACGATGTTTGATGGAAATTAAACTTCGTTCAACACAGTCGTGCAACATTATGGCCAGACTAGTGCAACCAGTTGGATTCAACAATGTTGAATGATGAACAGAGCATGTTGCAAAGGTTTAAACGGGGCTTAAGCAAGAACTCAATTAATCAACGGGAATTGCGCGCGAGACAGTGGAGAGGAACAGTGGAGAGGATTTGCATTTTTGCAACAAAAGCGTCGGAGTCATGTAGAATTTTGATATATCGAACGGGAACTTTTGACGTTGCAGAAATTATGATGCTCACTTATCTTCGTGAGACTGAAGTAAAAACTACTTTGACCGTTATAATAAGGAAACTGAAGACTTTTTTAACTATAGAATCTTTATCCTTTCCTTGTAGGTAGTTATAAGTATTTACCTATTCTTTTATCTATGTTAATTAAGTTAGAGGGAATGGGCCACGTCTAGCTCTACATGCAGTATTGGATGACTTGTTATGCACTTCTGAATCGCCTTTTAGAAATGTTAATGTGTCTTTTCAATTTCGGAGCTTTGTACAGGGCCTTACTTATTGTAATAATTGACCCTAAATGTAGTGAAGTACTAAATGTAACAACATTTCAACGTAACTGTAATCATAGTCTTAAATGTAATAACATTTGGCCTTAAATGTAATACAGCCTTAAATCATGTAATGTAAACTCTTAAACTCGGTAATAAACTCGGTCTTTCATTTTAAGACGTCATGCCAACGTCATAATAGACGTAACACATTACGAAAATAGCCACGTGATCTGTCGCGAAATCAGTCACGTCATTGTCAATAACATGACCAACTGATTACAACACCCAAGTGAATAATGGAAACATCAATCACGTGTCTTCTTATCTTAGTCAAAGTCGGTTGCATTCATCAAACAAGAACTAGCAATCATCGGTTGCAGAGCAGGTAAGTCGGAAGATGGACTGTCTCACGATACTTTTTTGGAGAGGAATACTGTCACTAGCCCAAAAGCATTTTTTCTCTTAGTGGTGAACAACACTTCAGTTCAGTTCAGGCTTCAGGTACATGAAAGGGTAGATATTTCACCAGTTGAAGTCTATGAAAGGGTAGGGAAAATTGTCATTTCGGTCTGTTAAAAGGCCCAGAAGGGCAAACAGATGCATTTTATTGCTTTGAAAATTCGAGAAACGTTCTGGTTTTGCGATTTATTCAAATTTAAAATAATTACATAAATACATTTATTGCAGTTACAAGGGATTCAAAGTTCTACAATAGTCATGTGAACGGGTGTATCATTTGTCAATAAAAGGTAATGCGAAGGAGGTCCTTTTTAGTCAAAAAGAGTATGCAAAAGGCTAAGGGGTTGGACCTCGGGGCGGAGACTCTCGGCATATAAAAGAAATAAAATAAAATATACGTTGTTGAGTACCCCTCCCCCCGCCCCCTTCCTTTGGGGGCTTAATCACCCAACTGATCAAATTTCTACCTACACCCCATGGGGGATTACATTTTTTTTCCAAATTGAACTGATACTATAAAAAAAAGGAAAAAAATACATACACAACAAGGAGTAATACTGTATAGTGTTGAAACTTGCACGGCTCAAACGCCGCATGCGGCGAACTTATTCAGCTTGGCTGAATTGGGTTTCTCCCGGACTGCTAACAGAACAGGGGCGGATCCCGGATTTTTCTTAGGAGGGGGCGCGCTACTAAGGAATGGTATGACTGACTGGTGACGTAAACAAATACTAAGAAGAAGGCTTTTGACTAGGCAATTACATAATGTGAACTGCTGAGAATACATAGTCTATCATACATATCTGCATATCTTGCAGAATACCGGTTGTCAAGACCCCTCTCGGGGGGGGGGGGGGGGGGGG